TCTTGACTGTATGCGGCTAGAATATTTGTCTGATATTTTCTTTTGATTTCTCTGAACTATTTTATAATGTATGTGAACAGTTAAGACTAACAACCTGTCATAAAATGCTCTGTTACTGGCGCTCACACTTAAATGTATAGCTAAATTAATCATGGAACTGTATGAAGTGTTTGGATTGTTGCTTCTTAAATTCACTTCAGTACTTCTCTACAATACTTTGTATTGAGATTTAGTTGATATTACATAACTGTTCTCAGATGGTAAGTATGCATCGCAGTAAATCCCACTGTGTTGTTTTACCTGCACGTATCAGTGTTGTCTTTTGTCCAAAATGATGTGTATAAAACTGCGTGCAAGAATTCTTCAGTGCATTCATGGGACATGCCTATTAAAAGAGTATGCATGGACTTTAAAAATGTTATGCACCCAAAGTAGTTTACCTTTTAATTCCATTTTCCATGAGCTGTTTGGAAGTATCTTTGTGTAAGTTTAATGATTTGAAGTGATTAATAACCATTAACAATAATGTATACTGTATTCGGCTTAGTAGACAGTTATATATCACTTGTCTTACACAGGAGAAAGCAGAGGTTCAAGTGATTTTGTTATAGTCAGCAAATAAAAATGCAGACTTCGAAGTCCAGAATAGGAAGGCCTCTGGCAACCAGTCAGTAAATCACTGGGCTTGTTTGTGACACTCAGCCAACCCAAGTAATGGGTTATCTAGAACTCGTGTTTGCAGCCCTAGAAATGCAAGTGGACTCAGTAGCAGTAGGGAACATTTGTAGTACCAGCGTTCTTGTGGCCATTTGTAACAACATCTGCAAACCATACAAAATTGTCAACTTAAAAATTAGCTTACTGGGCCCAGCGAGGTAGCCTAGTAGATAAAGTCCTTCCCTTGTATGCGCCGGGATCCCATATGGGAGCCTGTTCCTGTCCCAGCTGCTCCACTTCTCATCCAGCTCCTTGCTTGTGGCCTGGAAAAGCAGTTAAGGATGGCGCAAAGCTTCAGGACCTTGTACCCGTGTGGGAGACCCAGAAGAAGCTCCTGACTCCACAGCTCCACTCTGCCATTGTGGCCACTTGGGATGTGAATCAGCAAATGGAAGATCTTTCTGTCTCTCCTTCTCTCTGCAAATCTGACTTTCCAATAAAAACAAATCTTTCAGAAAATTAGCTGCTATAGATTTATTGAATTTCCAGTCTACCTGCACTTGCCTTGGCAAGGCCAGACCAATTGGTTTCACAGGCCTTTTGAGACACATAGGCTGGATGTTCCTCACTCCTGCATAGAGCAGGAGACTCTTCAAAATCCTCTCAAGTGTCAGTGTTTGCCATGTCTTCTGAAAAGGTGAGAAGCAGGAAAAAGAGGCTGACAGAAAATGCCAAACATGGCTGGGCACACTGGAGTATACCGCAACTTCTAATATAGTTAGCATCTAAATGTTGTGGATTTGAAACCAATATTCATATTTAAGTCTTTTGCTCAAAGTCACTCCGATAGTAGAGAGCAAAGCCAGGCTTTAACATTGGTTATGGCAGGCTCCAAAGCTTGTGGTCTTTTCCCTACCCTGTGATTTCCATAGGAGTCATCCAAGGAGCCATCCTGATTTCCTTTATGTAAAATCAGAAAGACAGATCTCCCACCTGCCGTCTCACTGTGCAAAGGTCCACAGCAGCCATCAGTGCTGGACGAGGCTGAAGCTGGGAGCTGGGAACTCAGTCTGGGTCTCCACATGGGTGGCCAGGGTCCAATTACTTGAGCTATCACCTGTTGTTTCCCAGGGTCCTTAGCAAGAAGCCATAATTAGCAGGCTTAGGACCTGAACCCCAGGCACTCTGAAATGGAATGCAGGCTTACCAAGTGACTTCTTAACATAAATAACCCACCCTTAAGATGCCTGTTTGAAAAATAAATACCCTGCCACGGAGCTTCTGGAAATTGTGATTCAGTTTCATTTGGGGTTAAAGCCAAGTAACATACCTCAAACAGGAATCTTCCGTAACTCTAGTCATCCAGTAAGTTTGGGAGACGCTACCAGTTCTGTCGTGTGGAGACATGGGTAGGATTAGGAGTAGAAAGAGGAGTTTAGAAATTGGTTCTTCATTCTTCTCTAGCAGTAAAATAAGAACAATAGGTTTGGATTGTGGAAATCACAAAATTGATTTTAGATTCCTTAACCTATACAGAAATACTTCTTTTTATTATTTTTTCTTTCAGGTGTCAGCAGGATAAGTTGTTTGGCAATATCTTTACACTGCTGAGCAAATACATCGCTGATGGGCATAAGTAAAACTATTTTGAATCCAGAAGAGAGAGAAGGAATTAGAAATAACATAAAACACAGTTCAACATAGTCATTTCCTCAGGTTTAAAAACTCCCATTAAGTCTTAAATAACCTTAATTTGAAGCTTTAATTCCCAAAGTGACAGGATTATACAAATTTCAAGCAGGGAGAGCTCTCAGCCAAATACTTTATGGATAAAGAAACCACAACTCAGAGAGGCTTAGGGGTTTACCCACATTGAGAGGCTGACTATCAAATCCATGCTGGCCACGGTTCTGTAGGACTCTTAAGGATCACAAATAAATGCCAGAAAAAGTGTCTTTTTCCAATGCCATATCAGTTTTGAACAGTAAATGTAGTTTTAATTCATACCTACCACAACCCCATCGCATTTTCCATGTGGCAGCAGGACTATACGTACTTGAACTATCACCTGATTCCTCCCAGGGTGTGTGTTAGCAGGAAGCCTGATCAGAAGCTCATCTATACTGATTATGATTAATAAAGAAATAAATGGAAGCATTTGCTCAGAAAGTAATAGTCTTCTAATTAGTAGATCAAGGAAGCTGTAACAGCTATAATGTGCTCACTGCCTGTTTTGTGCAAACTGCAGTATTGTCTTCTGTGTGTTTACTTATTTTATCTTGATCAGTATTAGCTTCCGAGATCAGGCGCCTTCAGGGTGGTATGGCGGTAGACGACAACAATCTTGATCATTACTAAACCATGAGGTATGGTGTAATGCACATTGAAGCAAACACAGTAATGCTGAAAATAAATACCATATCGACAGGCATCTGTGCTGACTTTTCTCTATTCATAAAATGAAATCTTGTAATAAATATGGAGAAAACTTAAGATTTCCTCCTTAATATTACATGTTCTGAAAGTGTTCATTTGTTAAATGTATTCTTCAATATTTATGAGCTATATGACTTATGTATTTACAAATTTTAGGTCTACTTCATGGTCTATAATATGGTCAGTTTTTGTAACTTTTCATAGACACCCATATCTCCTTTACATAATGAAATGCAGTGTCAGTCCTGATATAAAAGATTTCAAATACTTTGTCCTTATTCATTACACTGGATCGTATTAGTGTGCTAAAAGTTCCCTATTTTGCTTACCTGTATTTCATGTTACAGCTTCAAAAGCATCTGCTTTTGCATTTAATTATAAAACTAACTACAAGTCTGTGGTTTGAATGTATGATACTGTTATCACTATTTTAATGACTTTTTAAAAAGCATGTATGCTACTTATAGAAAAATCTTTAAAAAATGGAAGGAATTAATACCTGTGTGCTTACAATTATTATTTCACTATTCAAAGGTTTCTATGTGATTAGGAGTAGAGATTTTAGGATTAGATTCAGATTTGATTTGGGCTCTTATTAGCCTTACGCAGAATATTAGACTTTATTTGTATATTCAGCAAATATTTGTTGAGCAGCTACTGTGTGCCAGGCATTCTCTAGGGTCTAGGGACCATTGCTTTGAAAGATTGACATCTGTCTTGACTTACTTTCTTGTTTAAATAAATTGATGATAGTGTCTCACAAAGTTGTTTGAGGCATCAAAAGTGTTTAATGGTGCACAATATTTTCCTGCTGTGTGGCAAGAGATCAGTGAATGGCAACGATCACTATTATATATACTTAACACTAATTGTGTCTTCAGTTCAATAAAAATTATCACTTTAAAAAGCTATAAATGTTTTTGGGCCCAGCGCAGTGGCCTAGTAGCTGCAGTCCTCACCTCATACATTCTGGGATCCCATATGGGCGCCGGTTCTGGTCCTGGCAGCCCCACTTCCCATCCAGCTCCCTGCCTGTGACCTGGGAAAGCAGTCGAGGACGGCCCAAAGCCTTGAGACCCCGCACCCATGTGGGAGACCCAGAAGAAGGCTCCTGGCTTCGGATTGGCTCAGCTCCAGCCGTCGCAGTCACTTGGGGAGTGAATCGTCGGACGGAATATATTTCTCTGTCTCTCCTCTGCTCCCTATAAATCTAACTGCAGTAAAAATAAATCTTTAGCTCTTTTTTTAAAGAGCTAAATGTTTTTACCTTAGTCTGATTTTTGATATAGAGTATAAACTCTGTGCTTTTCTATGCTTGAGTTCCTGTTTAAATCAGTAAGTAGTTGTTTACTTTTCTGAAAATTGTAACTGGACCTCAAGTTTCTATTATCAAACATTTCAAATAAAAAAGAGAGTAGTACAGTGAACCACAGTATCTGCCTAGTCCACCCCAGAGGAAGATCTTCTGTCCGATGACTCACTCCCCAAGCGGTCACAACAGCTGGAGCCGAGCCGATCCGAAGCCAGGAGCTCTTCCTGGTCTCCCACGCGTGTGCAGGGTCCCAAGATTTTTGGGCCGTCCTCGACTGCTTTCCCAGGCCACGAGCAGGGAGCTGGATGGGAAATGGGGCTGCCAGGATTAGAACCAGCGCCCATATGGGATCCTGGTGCATGCAAGGTGAGGACTTTAGCAGCTAGAATAGCACACGGGGCCCTGCATTTTATTTCTTAAAAGAGAATTCTTTCTAAAGCACATACCCACTGCATCATCATTGCCCATAAAATGTGATTATATAATAGCATTTGATATCTAATAAATCACTTTCCTTATGTTTTATTTAAAATTTTACGTATCCTGCATTATTTCTTTTGGAATAAATTGTCATTTCATATTTTAAATTCTTTCCCTGTGGGTTTTATTTTTTTCTTGCAATATGTATTGCTTTGTTTGAGAAGGTTGTGAAATACAGAAGGAAGAATTATGGAGAGAGAAAGACATGGGTTTGCCATTTACTAATCAACTTGCTGAGCCTTGATTTCCTCAACTGTAAAAGAGGAATAATTATGCCTGCTTATCGTGTTCTTAGAGTTGAATACAGTGATTGTGTAGATTACTATGAATAGTCTTTGCCAGTTATTTTGGATTGTAATAAATGTCTATTCTTTCTATTCTGTGAGTTTTCAAAAATATCCCCAAATTTCTATTTATTAGATAATCCCTGAAAATAGTGTATTTAAAATATCCTTTTAAGGAAAAACTGTTTTTTGTTTTTGTTTTGTTTTGTTTTGTTTTTTGCTTCTTCCACTATCTTGAGTTCCCATTAACTTAGCCTAAAGTTGCAAATATCCTAAAATGTTTTTTCTTTTAATCATTTACACACACACAAATATATAAACACATATGTTCTTCATTAGTAACAATTTTTCTCTTAGTGGGGTTAATTATTGTATTTAGTTATTTCTGAACATAAAGTTGGTGTCAGTGTACTTCCCAGTTCGTTCCTACCTCTTTATTTCTGAGCTCTTTGATTTTCCTTTGATGGAAGAGCATACGTTTGAACAGTTTGTATATAATATACTTCTGGAATGGTGACATTTTCTAACACTTTACAGCTCTGAGGATAATTTATTGTGACCTTTGTACCTGGAGAACTAGGATGAAGTATGAAGTTCTTAGATCCTAACTTTTTCCTTTCAATTCTCTCAAAGTCATTACTTCATTGTCTTCCGGCATTTTATTATTGCAATGGAGAAATCTGAGGTCAATCTGCTTTTAGTTCCTCTGAAATAACCTATTTTTTTCTGCTTGTATGCTTATAGGATTATATCTTTATCCTTGAAATTTAAAAACCTTTGCCAGGACATGTCTTGGTGTTGATGATCTCTGTCGAACCTTGTCAGTCTCCAGTCTCAGGTATTTTTTTCAGAACTGGAAAATTTTCTTATACTTTCAATTGACTGAACTGCTCTGTGTTTTTCTTTAGGAACATCTGTTATTACTAGATAATTTTGATGTCTGTCCTCCATAGTTTTTTCATCTTTGCTTGCTTTTTTTTTTCCCTCCCATTGTTCAAGTTTGTCCTCCGTGGCATGGATTCTGTTTTCTGCAGTGTCAATTCTAATATCTGCTATTCACAATGCAAATTTAATTTTAGCTACTGTGTTTTCATTTCTTTATATTTATCTCGACATACTCCTGCTTCATCAGCAGAATTCCGCATAGGGATACACTTTTTAAATCATGAGCTGGAGTCAGGCCTGAAATTTACCTGTTTTCTGAGGCCTCAACCACAGGACCAGAAAAAAAGCTTCAGCTTCTGAAGGAGTCCGCATAAAATTGAACCGTGGGTACAACCTAGTTCAGAAAGTGGAGCAGGCTTGGATACTAGGCCTTTAGAAGCCAGATGAATAGCAAAGCAGGCATAAGGATACCTTGAGTAGAAAAAAACCCGGATTTTTCTAATTACATTTATTGCTTTTCTAAAAATAATGCAAATTATGTGCATATAATTTTGAAAATATAGTACCAAGAAGAAAACTCTATGCCAGGTAACTACTGATAAGATTTGGTGTGTTTTGCTGGTTACGTGCACCCGTGTTGGGAGGGGAGTGCAAAATTGTGGTCATACTATATGGTTTTGTACCTTTTCTGACTGACTCTTGCAAGCATTTTTTGCATCTCTTTTTTTCTTTGAGGCCCTGATTTTAACCATTGCATAGTATTCCTACATTTGAATAGATGTCTTTTGATTTATTTTACCAGTCCCCTGTTGGTCACTTAGACTGTTTTCTATTTTTCAGTATAATGAGTATGATGACTCTCACTGTACATAAGTCTTTATGCACATCTCTGATATTTCCTTAGGATAAATGAGGAGCTGATTCTTAATCCTGTCACATTGGTAAGGATTATATACATTCCTTATTAAGAATATAAAATGCTTGTTTCTTATTGTTTCAATGTGATTGCATAGACGATTCTTTGGATTCCAAACAATTTGGTGGTATCTTAACCAATTGAGAGAGGTTTCTAATGCCTCCTACTCAGCACCTTCATGAAGAAACTCCTGTCTCTTTGGGCAGGAAGACCACTGCTAATATCAGGGAGTTTGGAAGGCCAAGATTTACAGGTGGAAAGTTGAGACTGAATAAAAAACGGCAGCATGCTGCTTGCTCATTCCTACAGCTCGGGTCTGTGTATTGATATGCTAGGGCTCGGACCCTTTCATCTCTGCTTCCTGTTATTTCAAACTAGTGTTATCTGTAGAAAGTCTTTTTTCCCCCCAGTATTCTTGTGTACATTTAACTTGAATTTAGGATAATGTCAGAAGATGATATATTCTACTAAGTTGAAGGTAGTGTTGTATCAGTCACAGTTCATTTTTCAGTCCTAGTATACTTGCATATAATAATCTGAAAAATATTTTTTTGTTTTATATTTTCTTAAGATGTAACAGAGAGCAGCGTCAAAATGGGCATTATTTGAACATGTCGTTATAACAAAACAATTGGCTTGGTGGAGTTGCTTAAAATAGATACTTTAATGACTCCTTATTTTTAACAGATTAGAATTTCCCTTAGGAATAATCTAGAGATCGTGAAACCATGATTCAGAATTACTGGCTGAATTATTCTTCCTCTTTAAATCGGGGAGATGATGTTAAGTACAACACTGAAAGTTAACTTGAAAACAATTCCTGCTGAAGCTTAAGCAGTCTCCTTTAATCTGTTTTGTTCTGATGAGGCCCATATTGTAGGTTATCCAAATTTGTGACTTTTTACACATTTCAAACTAATGTAGTAAAGCATGATTAGCATTTCCTAACCTTTCCCAGTATTTTGCATCTTATTTGCATATGTACAATCTGCCAAGCTCCAGTTTTTTGGCTGGCAGACATTATGGTGGAATGAGAGAGGATAAATACATTTGCCTTACTCCCAAACTATATTTGCTCCATAGTCGTTCTTTAGCCATATTCTGTAAAATTATAGTATATATGAGTGATCTCTTCCACCTTGTTTGACAGGAGTTAGACTGCAAGTGGTGGAACAAGTATCTCAACACCCTTGTGTTCTTCATTGCATTACATCTTTAGAAGTTATATGAAGAAATGCAAATATTATGTAACCAATTTTACACAGAAGAGGAAAAGAGAAGTAGTAGTTACTAGGCATCTGCTGTCCCTGGGTCCCTCACTGCCAGCTGCCCTCTGAGGTGGATGCTACATGGACCTTATAAATACGAAGGCAGTGCTCAAGAAGTTCAAGAACTTACCCATGCTCAGGGAGCTATACCAGTAGGTGACAGCGTTGGGAATGCAGCCTGGTATCGGTCAGCTTCAGCACACATTTATCTATTTGTTTCTTAGAAGTAGAGAAGCATGCATTTCTTTGTCTAATGGTGCTCTGGGAACTGTGCAGAGTACAAATGTGGAGGCCAACTGAAAAATCTCTGATGAAACCAGGAGTCATTTTTCAAAACGGAAGCTTACTTCAGAAGTAACTTTGTGCTCATTTCCAGTAGATAACGTTTTAATCCTTGTTTTCATGAAGTGCTACAAAAGGCTTGTTAAAATAAAGGCGCTTCTTTTTTTAATAGAAAAAGCTTTGTGAGGTTTTTACTGGTATGTAGGATAGCATGAGGTTTCTTGTCTTGCTGCATTAAAAATAAAAATGCTCAAATTTTTAAATCTGCCAAACTCAGAAAGGAAGTCACTACTTTTTCAAAAGTTGAATGGAAAATAACCATCTTGATCATGTTTCACCTACTTTATTTTCTCAAGTAGTTTTGTTAGTATATACTGTTAATTAGCTGAATCAGGTGATAGATTTGGAATCCAATCTGCAGACACTAGCCACTGGGTCAGAACTGGAAAGGATGAAGCAAAAACTTAAGATTTTATTCCTGGAACTAAGAATAATAATAGGAACAGGAAAGGGGATGCAGAGCTTTGATGCAATGTAAGCAAAGAGGACAATGACAAAGAAGACAGAAGGCTCGTATCTGACTCAGTAGTGTGTTGTGGTCATTCCAAAATATTGCTTATGTGAACTGTATTAACATAAATTTATTATCTGGGACGAGGGACCCTGCATTGGTCCTGCCAAGATTGTAATGTAATTGTATCTAATTCCATCTAATACCCTTTAAGATGAGTTAGAGCATGCTGAGAAAAAAGACTGATGATGGATCTCATTTTGTCTTGGAGAAACATTTTAAAGGAACTCAGGTTATCTAGAAAAGACAAGAGTTGGAGTGGTTTGTAGTCATAGATGTAGATTCATTTTCAGTGACTTTGCAGCTAGCATACAGACTTGTTAGTCATTTTTTAGTAATCTTTAATGGAATTTCTGGCTTTCTAAAAGTTACTATATAATGAAATTTTTGTAGAAGATGAGGCTTTCTATGAGACTATTCTTAGCCTTATAGTGTTCAAGTATAGGTGAGAAGGGGCTAGAAAGAGTATGTATATATGTGTTGTTGGTAGAAGAGATTTTCTTATTTTTTTTAAAATATTGGTTGGTTTAGAAACTCAGCATTACAAAGCAGGAGAGACAGATCTTCCATCCACTTTTTTCCTACTTAGGTGTTTGCAATGGCTGGGGATGGGTCAGGCCAAAACCGGAAGTCAAGAGCCTCAAGGGGTCACTCACGTGAATGGCAGAGGCCCAAACAGTTGGGCTGTCTTCTAATACTAATCCAGGCCATCAACAGTGAGCTGGCTCAGAGGTGGAGCAAATGGGAGGACATGAACTGGCACGCATAAGGGATGCTGGCACTGTCTGAGGTAGCAGTTTTAGTTGCTAAGTCACAACAGCAGTCCCAGTAGAGAAGACTTTCAAAAAGCCTTATCAGTCTTAAAGTTGGAATTTTTTTTTTAAAGATTCTAACATCAAAAGGATTTTACTTTATCCCCACAAAGCCACCTCACTTTAATAGTAGAGACTTGCAGTGGTACAGCTCTTAACACTATTTAAAATGTTTTCTTAGGAGTTACCTGTTTTGAGCTTTCATAGACCAAGCGAGTATTCCCATTTTGAATAAAGTAAGAGAGCACATCTGAATTGCTCAAAATCATAAAGTTTTATATAAGTGGAAAACCTGGATTGTACCTCTGGTCTGCTAAGTCCAAGTTCAGTGCTATTTCTGTTATACTAATTTGCTTTAAAAATAAGTTACAAGTTGCGATACTTGCTTTGCATACATGAAAATCACAAGGAACAGATGGCTCTCAAATTTTATTCCTATGGAAATATAACTATAGCTCAAATTAAACCACGAGTTCTATAAACCCAACAATGTGGAATCATTGATTATCAGATCTATATTATTGGAAAAAAATTATTTATTTATAACTAATGGGAAAATCTATTTAATGATGCCATTAATTTAACTAAAATAACAAATGCAGGAGAGATAACAGATTGGTTGGCCATAAGTGAGGTGACTGAATGTTGAACATAATCAATATAGCAAACATCAATGGTTTATTAAGTGCAAGATACTATGCTTAGGGTTTCATAGCATTTATCTCATTTCGTCTTCACAAAAATCCAATGATGGTAAAACTTTATATGCTCAGTATTCATATGAAGAAGCTGTAGCTAATATGGCTTACTTAACCTGTTCAAGGCTTTGTATCTGGTAATGTAAGAGTAGGAATTTAAGCATATGTGTCTGACTCCAACATCTTAAAAGCTAGTTTGTTCCTTTGGTACATTTGGATGAAAACAATCAGCAGTCAGTTTCATCTATGGCCGTGGCTTTTAGGGGAGAGCAATGTCCTAGAGGCATTGAGTCTTCTTACCATAGAGCTAGTCTACAATATTGTGATTTCTAAAAACGTCTTAGGGACATCTTTTATAGTAGCCTGCCCTCTTTTCCTGCATTTTGGCACTGTTTCCATGCTCTCTAGTGTTGTACAGGCATTCTAATAACCTAGGAACATGAACTCTGAGTAGGTGAAAAATGCCCTTTGAATAAGTCATTAGACCTTCTGGGATGGGGAGGGGGGTCATGTTTTACTTTGTCTCTAGTGCCTAGAACCATGAGCATGAATGCAATGGAATGAGCAAATGAATAGTCAATAGGGATAGGAAGAAGAGGAGAGAAGTTTAAAATCAGAGCGGCTGCCTCATGCGGAGTATGGACTGATGGATGGAGTACCATTTACATCATAGTTGCTAATTCTCCAAAGGAAGTGAGATGTTAGATGTTAACTTACTAACAATTAATCAGGCTACTCCTTTTTTCAAAAAGAGAATGAAAGAAGACCCCTATGTGTTCTTGATTTCTTGTTTTTTATTTTTTTAATTGCACAAGTAATAATATTCATTGAAGATATTGTAGTCACCTTAGAAAATTCAAGTAAACAAAAGCAAATAACATTTAGGATTTCTAAAATTTTACCACCCAGATAGCCACTGTTAACATTTTGGTGTATATCCTTCCAGAATTTTCCCATACAAATATATACATTGGAACATGTATATATTTATTTAGAATGGGATCATTATAATCCATATTGTTTTGTAAACTGCTTTTTCACTTATTACATGTGACTGTCTTTCCATGTCAATGAATTTACATTTTATCATTTTTAATGACTGCATAGTATTCCATTATGGATGTGCATTAATTATAACTAGTTCTCTGTCAGAAGTTTAGGTTTCCAATTTGAAGTTCTTTTAGGAAAAAAAATTATGGTGAGCATTCTTATATGTACATCTTTGTACACTTGTCAGCTTTTTTTTTTTTGAAGGAGTAGAGTTGATGGGACCTTTCAAAACTGTCCGTAGTGGTGTTTTGTATTTAATAGAGGAAGAATGCCTTCTTGGAAGGTTGTGCTGATCGACACTATTCAACAGTATACCCTCAATGCGCATTTCCCCTAGACTCTTTCAGCACTGGCTCCTACTTAGTTATTTGTTTCCTTATATAAATCTTTACCAGTTTGAAAGATGAAAGCAATCTTTGGATTAATTGCATTTAATTAGTACTAAGGCTGAACTCTTCCCTTACTGCTCAGTTTTTGTGAGGTTCCTCATTTTTTTCTTGCAGGTTTGTAAAAGCTCTGTGTATTGAGGATAACAACCTTTTGTCTTCCGTTGCTTCTTTTTGTAGTTAGTTTGTCTTTTACCTTTTTGTGTCTGGCAGAAGAAGTCTTAAACTTTTATGGATTTAAATGTCATTTTTCCCGTATAATTTCTGCTCTCTTTACCCCATTAATATTATTGGCATATAGCTTAGTACCTTTTTTTTTTGACATTTAAATGTTTATAATCTACCTTGAATTTAATGTAGAGATCAAAAAATTCTATGATTAATTAATCAGTTGCTCTGATTAATTATCAGTGGAGTTGGAATGTAGAATGTGTCTTGCCATCCAGGGTGATGTAAATGATGTTTGGTGAGGCTTAAGTAAGGCTTAAGTATTATACCTAACTATTAAGTTAAAGAGCTCACCTAGCAAGGTAATCAGCATTTACCATATTATTTCCATGGAAAAAATGTTTTTGTAATTTCACATAGTTAGCTTACAAAGTCCCTATGAGAGCTTCACCTGCTGCAGATTTCAGACTGCGTTCTTACATAGTCATTCTGCCTCAGTAAAGCCCATCAGGAATGCAAATATTCCTGAGCAGTTTGGGTAGGGGAGGGGTTTATCATCATTTACCTCTGAATTGAATTCTGCTTTAGTAACTTGCTACTTGCTGTACTTTCCACAGAATGGACAGCAAATTATGGATGAGCCTATGGGAGAGGAGGAGATTAATCCACAAAGTGTAAGTAAAACACTGTGTTACAGGAGGTATGGGTGAATCAGATACCATAATGCAACTGAACAAACTAATGACTTTAGTTGTAGAAACTTGTTGATGTTTTCACATTCATTTTACCAAAATACATTCTCAAATAGTTCAGTAAGCTTCCTGAAAGCACTTGATGAGACTGATTTTTAAGAGAATGACAAAACAAACTGCTTTGTGTTGTTGAAAGTTTCTCATTAGTGTCATAAGGCTTATTTTTACAAATTAAACTGACCATAAATTAATTGAACTAAAACTTTTTAAACATCCTACTTTACAGAACTATTTCATGTAGAAGGTAGATATTTACCATTTCTTCAAAAATTTTTTTGGTTACTCTGAATCCCCCTTTTGCACAATAGCTCAATTTTAGTTCTCTTGTTATTCACTACATAAGACAATTGTTGGTGAATGCTTACATAACGTGTATTTTGCACCTTGGTCTTTTCGCTACGTAAGACAATTATTAGCATATATTTACAAAATGTATATTCTGCAGCTTGATCTTTTCACTTGCTGTGTTTAGCAATTTTAAGACAGTACATATAGATTAGTTCTTGCTCAAATGGTTACACAATATTCTATATTATGTAAATCCTATAATTCATGTAGTTTCCCCCTGTTTTGTGAAGTTGTGTTTCACTGGCATAATCTTAGAAAAGGATGTGCTAAATAGATAGATCATTTAAAAAAAGATGTACTGGAATAAAGAATATAAACATTTACATCTCAAGATATTACCAAAATGCATTCCCAAAAGATATGAAAGTTTCAGTGTATAGGAGTACCTCTTTGATTCTGACAATGTCCATATTCAACACTGGATATCATCAGAAAATAGAGAACATGCAATGGGTTCTCATTTTAATTTGCATCTCACTTGATGATTAGGTTTAATATACATGTCTTATTGGTCTTTATGTTTTGTTTTGCCCAGTTTTCTTTTGGCTAATTATTGTCTTCTTGCGTTTCTGTGTATAATCTGAATATTAACTCCATGTTTCTTGTATGTGTTGCAAGTGTTTTTTCTCTCTTTTTTAAAATATATTTTTAAAAGATTTACTTGCTTTAAAGTCACAACTACAGAGACAGAGGGAGAAGCCAGAGAGATCTCCCCTCCATTGATTTATTCCCTAAATGGTACAATGGCCAGAGCTGGGTAAGCTGGAGCCAGGAGCCAGGAGCTTCCTCTGACTCCCACATGGGTGTAGGAGCCCACGGCCTTGTCCCATCCTCTGCTGTTCTCCCAGAACATCAGCAGGGAGCCGGATGGGATGTGGAACAGCCAAGACTTGAATTGGCGTCCCTATGGGATGCTGGTACCACATGCTGAGGATTAGCTTACTGTGCTATGCACAGGTCCTTCGCCACCCCCCTTTTTAAATCTTGATTTTTGTGTTTTTCATTGTATATATCTAGAGATTTTAATTGTTACCTTTTTAAAGCTTTTAATTTTTATTTCATTATGATTTATTTTTTATTTATTTGAGAAAGAACACAGCTCCCATCCAGTGATTTATTTCTTTAATGCTTGTGACAGAAAGGGCTGGAGCAGGTGAAATGCAGGGGCTGGGAACTCAATTTGGAGCTTCCAAATGGATGGCATGGAGTCCACTACTTGCGCCATCACCGCTGACTCCAGCATTCAGATTAGCAGGAAGCTAGAGTCAGGAGCCAGAACCAGATGTCGAACTCTACTACTCCAAGATGGGATGCAAGGGTCTTAATTGCAAGGCTAAACACCTACCCCTTTACCCACATTTTTAGTATTTCTGAAGTTAGAATGCTTATTGTAATTAGTAATGGTGTGACACATTTTTAATTGAGAGTATTTATTTTCTTTTATAATGGTATAGTAATTATGTTGTTAGGTTATACCAAGAACGTAATATCAAAAAATTAAATCCCTCCCTAGTGAGTTAAATGAGTCTGTAAATTAAAACATCCCACTAGAAGCTTATCAAAGAAATTGCTACTCTCAGGAAGATCTACATTTTTAAAAAGATTTTAGCATTTTTATTTGAAAGGCAAATTTACAGAGAGGAAAAACGGAAAGAGAGTGATCTTCTGTCTGCTGATTCACTTCCCAGATGACTGCAATGACTGGAGCTAAGCCACTCCAAAGCCAGGAGCCAGGAGCTTCTTCCAGGTCTCCCACATGGGTGCAGGGTCCCAAGGCTTTGGGCCATCCTTGACTGTTTTCCCAGGCCACAAGCAGGGAGCTGGAAGGGAAGTGGGGCAGCCAGGACATGATCCAATACCCATATGAAATGCTGGCACTGTAGTTGGAGGATTAGCTTGCTGTGTCACTTTGTATACTCTGCTAATGGGAAACACAACAGAAGATGGCCCAGTACTTGGGACTCTACACCCACATGGGAGACTCAGAAGAAGCTCCTGGCTCTTGGCTGCTGACTTCTGGGGAATGAACCAGTGGATAGAAGATATATTTCTCTCTCTCTCTCTCTACCTCTCTTTTCCCCTCTCCCTCCCTCTTCACCTCCCTTCCCCATCACCCTGTCTCCTTCTTACCTATTCTATCCCTCTCTCGCTCTCTCTAACTCTCTCCAACAATCAGATTAAAAATTTAAAGCTTTTAGACTTATTTTAAAAACATATATAAGGAATTAGATGTAGGAATAATATTCGCTTCTTTAACATGAAGGTTAGAAGACAAGGAGTAGAGCCTTTAAAGTGCTTAGTGAAAATGACAGCAAGATATTTTCTTTTTTTTTAAAGATTTATTTTTATTATTTTTTTCATTGGAAAGGCGGATATACAGAGAGGGAGATCTTCCGTCCCATGATTCACTCCCCAAGTGAGCACAACGGCCGATACTATGCCTATCCGAAGCCAGGAGCCTCTTCTGGGTCTCCCACGCGGGTGCAGGGTCCCAAAGCTTTGGGCCATCCTCGACTGCTTTCCCGGGCCACAGGCAGGGAGCTGGAAGGGAAGCGGGGCTGCCGGGATTAGAACCGGCGCCCATATGGGATCCCGGGCGTGCAAGGTGAGGACCTTAACCACTTGCGCCACCACGCTGGGCCCAAACAGCAAGATATTTTCAAACACATACCTGTTTTAGCAAGTTGCTGGAAAAGTCTCCACCAGCTTTAGAGGATTGTTACAAAAAAAGAGACCCGAGATTCAGAAAACACTGCAAGCATGTGAGGAAAGTTCCCCCCATTATAATGAGTAAAGGAAACTGAAGCAAATGAAATTAGTCAGGAGGCTTATACAGCGCCCACTCTAGATGAAAGCATCGTGATTGTAGAAAGTCTGTCTCCAGATACAGCTGGGTAGGGAGAATCGAAGTTGTGAATGGTCCTATAAATTTGAGTATTAAAAATTCACTTGAGGGCCTAGCGTAGTAACCTAGCAGCTAAAGTCCTTGCCTAGCATGCACCCGAATCTCATATGGGTGCACCTGTTTATATCCCATTAGCCCTGCTTCCCAGCCAGCTCCCTGCTTGTGGCCTGGGAAAGCAGTTGAGGACAGCCCAAAGCCTTGGGACCTGTACCCACTCGAGTGACCTGAAAAAGCCTACTAGCTCCTGGCTTTGGGTTGGCTCAGCTCCCGCCGTTGCAGCTGCTTGGGGAGTGAATCAATGGACTGAAGGGCTTCCTCTCTGTATATCTGCCTTTCCAGATATTCACTTTAATTTCCAGAAAAATTCACTTGAGTGGCAATTGCTGAGTGGGAAGAATTTGAGATAGATAGAAAGAAAAGGCAAAGAAAAAAAATGCAAAGAAACAAAGAAATTATAAACTTGAGAAACAAAAGCTGAGCATGAGAAATTAGTGAGTACGTTGCATTGTAATGTGATTATACAATGTAATGAGTACATTACTACAGCAGTGAATAATGCTTTGTAATGGCATAATAGTTGTAAAGACTAAATCTTGACATAAGCAAAATTGGTAATGTTATAAGTGCTAAGTCATCTATAATAGGCTATTTAAAGGTAATATCTGAAATTGATGACACAAGAAAGTAGCATAAGGTTATTATATTCATCAAGTACAGAGAAACATCGGTGGGGACAATGGAACTGAAAAGAGCTGCAAAGGGACAGCAGAGGCACAAGCCATTACTGCTTTGTCCTTGTAACCCTTTTAGCAGGTTTTTTTCCCCTGATATTTTAATAGTTGATAATTTTTAAAATGTAGTTGTAACTGGTGTGATCACAAAAGACACAAAATAATCTGACTTTTGAGAGAAAGTTGCAGGGTTTTGAGAAGTAAGTACCAGTGTTTGGATTAAGACAATCTTGTGGGAAAGTGGTATACATGAAAACAATAGGAGAAGGGCTTTGGGATGTGTTGAAGTAGCTATATTGGTTGGACTAACAGGATCATCTGAAAGTGGAGCCTGATTTCTCCCGAACATCAAGCGCCTTCACTGAGACCAGTTTCCTGTGAGTCAGTCATGTGCTAGCTCTTAAAAATACCCCAAGTTTCCCTCTCTGTGATAGAGCCATCTTGTTGTGGTTGGGTTTCCCCAGCATGCCTCAGCTCTTCTGGCTTTTGTTCCTTGTCCTGAGACTTGCCTTTCTCTTCGACCAGCTTCTCTTTTACTGCCATTTTGAAATTGTATGCCTTTCTAATTTTTAATTGTTTTTTTTTTTTTTGCTTTGTAAAAGTTTAGCCCTTTCCTATCTTTACTCACCTATATTTCCTCAGTGTATCTCAAAATAGAACGTGTATCTAATTAAGTTGATCTACAAGAGAAGATTGACAGTCGCCACCTTACCTCATCTGCCTCCCCAGGAATGTTTTCTTCTTACTCCACATTTATGTGCAGTTAGTTGAATTTCTCACAGAGTTAACTCACTGCAGCCAGTATCTGTTGTTCTCCATTACCTGCCAGAAAGGCTATATTGTGCTTCTTCTGGATTCCCATGTGACTGGGAAGAAGCATTGCCTCTAGCAGAAGGTAGAATACCCCATATAGCACCTCAAGCCAAGGTAGCTTTCCC